ATGGATGTAAGAGTTGGACTATAAAGAAAGCTGAGTGCAGAAGAATTGATGCTTTTGAACTGTGGTGTTGGAGAAGAGTCTTGAGAGACCCTTGGACTGCAAGGAGATCCAACCAGTCCATCCTAAAGGAGATCAGTCCTGAATATTCACTGGAAGGACTGATGCTGAAGCTGAAACTCCAAGACTTTGGCCACCTGATGCAATGAAATGGCTTATTTGAAAAGACCCTGATGCTGGGAAAGACTGATGGCAGGAGAAGGGGATGACAGAGGATGAGATGGTTGGATAGCATCATTGACTCAATGGACGTAAGTTTGAGTAAACTCTGGGAGCTGGCGATGGACAGGGAGGCCTGGCATGCTGCAGTCCGCTGGGTCGCAAAGAGTTTGACACAACTGAGCGACCGTATTGAACTGAACTAGATAACAAACAGACCTAAATACAAAAAAAAAAGAAAAGAAATAGGAACTCTAAAATAAAAAAAGAACTAAATATGTAGAAATTCTGAAGGGTTACTTCTTTGTCACCCATGACAAATCTTCCAATGAATTAGTGTCTTTGTTATCTGAGCATCCCCAGAAGATGGAAGGAACAGGTTATCCATGAGATCCAAGGCTGTCTTGCTTCCAAGAACAAGAAACACTAAATACATATTCCTGATTTAAATACATTTTCATTATTTTTACTCATTTATTATTCTTATTTATTATTATTACTCATTTACTATTATTATTTGAGGCTTGTGGTTAAAACAAATATATGTATTTCCTAGTGCTATTAGCACTGTTAACTTTTGATTTTTTTCTTATCCACAAGGTGGCAGGAATTTCCATGTTAAATTCTGTCTTAGAGACATCGCCTTACTGAGGTATCCGCTTAGAAGTGTCATTCATTATCAAAAAAAAAAAAAAAAAAAAGAAAGACATGTGTCATTCATAGAGCTTTAAGTAAAAAGAGGCTTTTGAACTAGGTCTCTAACTCCTGAGGGTTATAATAACTCCAGTTATTATCTTAAATGAAGTATCCTGTACAATAACAGGGCATTCTCAAAAGCAGTGAAAAATGCTGGGTAAATGTTTAACAGCTGTTGACTTACTACCTCCGCATCTCACAGATAGGATTATATTAAGGAACATTAACTTGAGCAGAGACACAGCTAGAAAAGTGTCACAGGGAGTTCATTCCATGGAACCAAACTCTGGAAATGACCCCTCTGAGTCTCCACACTGTACTCACACCTCCACAAGCGCAGCCCAGTTACAGAGAGGCCTGTGTTAACACACGCCAAGGAAAATGAAAAGAAGCCAACTAGGAACGTCACCTCAGCCCTTATCACCTAGGGAAGTGAGCTTTGGATGGGCGCCATGGGAGAGGCAGGAAGAAATCATGCCAGCTTCGCTGAGGCAGCAGACAGTCTTGGTGGAGTTCAGAACAGGCTCGCTGGGTTCAGCAGACAAGTCCTGAATGGACCAGCCTTCCCCCGCGCAAGCCACGTCCGGCTGCTCTATCAGCGCCCAGAAGCAAAGGGTTGAGCCAGAATTATTATTTACTGGGTGCCAGGCCATTTGATAAGACCACTATCGATAAATATGGGCATATATGCACAGATATATTCGTTTCTTGTCAGCCGTCATTTTGTAGCTGAGAAAACTGAAGCTCAGAGAGGTTAAGGTTAAAGTCAGAGCTGCCTGACTTCAGAGTCTATGCTTTCTCCACTTTATCAAATGCCTCTCAAATACAATTAATTCTGCTTTAAAAATGACAGTGCACCTCCTATCTTTAAAAAAAAACTTACTAGAAAACTAATAGCTTTCATAACACTGTCCACAAAACTGATTTGTCCATTCTGTTAACTTCCTATGAATACTCACTTATTGTCTAATTCTCTTTGCTCATTGAAATTCTTGAGGTGGAGAAAAGCCAGGATTCTTAAAGGGAAAATCCAACGTGGACAAGAATTAAATCAAGTAATCCCTCTCCAAATATTCTCCCAGCACCAGGGACACACCCTTGAGGACAGAGACTTTGCCTTTGTTCATTGGCGACCTTTGGTCAGTAGTTGACGCTCAGTAAATGTTAATGAACTGACTGCCAGAATCAAGGACATGATGACTTTCCCTCCTTGAAATGCCCAACTGATTTGCTTAGATGCTATAGTTACCTAAACCATGAACTCCTAAGAGTCTTTTCTTCCCTCCATGTGATCCACAGGATCCTGACGATCTCTAACAATCATCACAAAGTACTTTTAGGATTACAGTGTCTCCACATTTGCCAGGCAAGTCTTCTGCCTTGACGAGCCGCCTACGCTGTGCCTGTACTCCTAATGCTTCGGAATTTTTTAAGGAGGGTAGGGGTGCTAAATGTCAACCTGTCCCCATTCAAGCCCACTTTGAATCTCTTCAAAGCTATGGAAAGCTATGTAGGTATCCTCCAACAGACATTCTCCCACATGGCTAAATAACTAGTTACACTAAGCATGTCCCTCTTTACCAAGCTAGCCTCACGTAATAAATCATCAAGTGAGGCAATTGGGACTGGCCTCTGACAATCCTCAAATATCCTTGGGTTTTATCCTGTCATCCCTTATTTTCCATCTACCAGAGAGCTGGCTCTGTCAAGTATTTAGTAGAGCTCTTTGTAAAAACTGAATCATATACATGAATGGAGCACCTGTGTTTCTCACTGCACACTTTTATCCGTACTCTACTTCAGGTATAAAGTGTGAAATTTTCCTGTTGTTCCTCTCACATCATGATTAAAGAATAAACTCTGTGAGACATCAGCTTATTTTGCAACTCATACTACAATTCTATGTCTTCATATAAACTGTTGAGGTTTCCCAGGTGGCTCAGTGGTAAAGAATCTTCTTGCCAATGCAGGAGACTCCAGAGACACAGGTTCAATCCCTGGGTTGGGAAGATCCCCTGGAGGAGGAAATGGCTCCCCACTCCAATATTCTTGCCTGAAAAATCCCTTGGACAGAGGAGCCTGGTGTGCTACAGTCCATGGGGTTGCAAAGAGTTGGACATGACTAAGCATATAAACTGTTAACATTTATGTTAAATAAATGAAAGGTACAAAGAGAAGGAAAATTTGAATATTTTAAATCTATTAAGAGTCTCTACAGCCATGAAGATCAGACTTTTGGTTGCTAAGGGTAGGGGGAGGGATGGACCAGGAATTTGGGGTTGGTAGATGCAAACTGTTACATTTAGAATGGGTAAACAAGGTTCTCCTGTTTGGCACAGGGAACTATATTCAGTCTCCTCAGATAAATCATAATGGAAAAGAATATTGAATAAATAATGCATATATGTGTAAAACTGAGTCACTCTGCTATAAAGCAGAGTTAATACTACACTACTAATCAACTATACTTCAATTTAAAGAAAATTTTAAATATACATTAACAGTCTCAAATTAAAGCATCAAAAGTGAATCTCGAGTCTGGCTTCTCAGAAAAATGTGAAATTAACATGATTAGATACTATTTTTACTCACCTGACAGGCCAGGTTTGATAAAGCCCTGTGTTAGGGAAAATTAAGGAGAAATGGACACTCTCATAGTGCTGGGGGGAAATTTAAACTCATTCAAGATCCAGAAAGGATAACTCATCAATATCCAACAAAAGAGGCACACCCTTCTTGACTTAGCAAATTTACTTCTAAGAATTTAACCTATGACTGTGCTTACAAACTTGCAAAATGACTGCAAAAGGGATTCACTACATCTTTGCTCAGAACTACAAGAGACCTAAAAATCTAATTTGAGACTAAGACATTCCACATCTATACAACCAAATTCTATGCAACTGTAAGAGATATGTTATATATGTACAAAACCCTCAAATGCTATGGTATCATCTGTGTAAAAAAGGAGGAAGAATACACAGATATACTAGTCTTCTATATGGTTATCTCCAAGGAAGCAAAGTAAAGCAGTAACCACACTGGAAGGAAGATTTGCAGTATACACATCTAGACTTTAAAAATTCTGAGCTATGTAAATATTACCGACTTTTATTTTTATTTTTTATTTTTATTAGTTGGAGGCTAATTACTTTACAATATTGTAGTGGGTTTTGTCATACATTGACATGAATCAGCCATGGATTTACATGTGTTCCCCATCCCGATCCCCCCTCCCTATTACCGACTTTTAAAAACAAAAGTTCCCCTTGTGTTATGCAGATTTCCATCTCCTTCCCCAGCCCCATCCTGCTTCTCAGTCCCTGCATGGGCGAGCACTGCCTTTGGTTACCTGGTCTTGCTCTTCCCCTCTGGGGCTCAGGGTCCGTCAGCATGGCCCTTGCTCCCCCACAGAGAGGACAGTCTGGCTCCGCCTGAACATGAGCACGACTGGGCACCCCATGTGCCAACCGTCCACGTTTCTGTTCTGAGCAGACCAGTCAAAAGCAGTATCTGTGGGAACCTTATTTCTTCTCTCCAGTGGTCAATCAGTTTGTTAGATTATTCCCAAGCCTACAGAATTATCTTTTCCTAGGGGACATTTTTTGATCTGTGAAATCTTGCCTGTCTGTTGCATTGGAATATTTTTTTTCCACCAAATTACATTAGTCCCATGCCTACACACTTCTAAATGACATTTGGTAATTATCAGAAAAATAAGTGAACAGGTAAACGTAACATTTAACACATGATCAACTTAACAGCTTTGGGAAAAGCAGCAACAATGTATGTATCATACCAATAAAAAGGGGAAAAAAGGTCTTTAACGTAATTTGGCAATGATACGCGGGTGCAGAACATTTTGCAAACAGGATATAATTCAGCATCATATTATAACTATTATTGGCATTAACATTATATTGAAAATTAATAAAACTTTAACCCATGTAGATTCTTATCAGACATTCAAACTTAAAAAGATGTGCAAGGTCAAACTTCGCAAAATAAAGTTTTCTGCTACCCACTAGCCCAAAATTAAAGTACTATACTTGTTATTACATAGCGATTAGAAGTTTCAAACTGCTTACTGTCTGGCTTGCTCCTTATTGGAATAGGTTACATTGACGACAGCAGTTTCCGAGTCAGTGTTCACTGTAGGAAGAAGAAAAGAAGAGGGAAAAGAAGTTAGTTTTCTTTCTACTTTCTTCCTTTTACAAATTTGAAAGCAATTGAGAAGACATGTACCTTGCTCACAGCTCTCCACCACTCCATACTGGACTAGTAAACTATCCAGCACCTATCAGGAGGGGGAGACAAAATTACAAGTTTTCAGTTTCCTGTGTTATTAGCAAGGGCAGGAGAAGGTTTCTAAGTAATTGTGATGGAAATGAGCCCCCTAAAATTAACTGGGACTTGGGACTACAGAAGTGCGAGAAGGGCCCCAGAGAGAGCATCTGGTGGGTTTTCACTCCTGCCTCTCCAGAGGTCCTTGACTTCAAGCTGATCTAACCAAGATGTACGGATGTGCGTTGACCATAAAGGAGGCTGAGCATTGAAAACTTGATGCTTTTGAATTCTGGTTGCTGGAGACGACTCTTAAGAGTCCCTTGGACTGCAAAGATCCAACCAGTCAATCCTAATGGAAATCAACCCTGAATATTCACTGAAAGGACTGATGGTGAAGCTGAAGCTTCGATATTTTGGCTACCTGATGTGAAGAGCCAACTCACTGGAAAAGATCCTGATGCTGGGAAAGATTGAAGGCAAAAGGAGAAGGGGAGGACAGAGGATGAGATGGTTGGATGGCATCACTGAGTCAATGCACATGAGTCTGAGCAAACTCAGGAGATAGTGAAGGCTAAGGAAGCCTGGTGTGCTGAGGTTCACGGGGTTGCAAAGAGTTGGACACAACTTGACAACTGAACAACAACAAAAGGCACAGAAAGCCAGTGTTCAGAGCTACAGCCGCTTGTTCTGAGGCGGGAGGACAAAGGCACGCATGTTTCTCATACACACACCACCAACACACAGTCACACCTTCTCCTTGCAGAGAAGGGCTCAAGCTAAGGTTTATTTTTTAAGATTTTCCTTTTTAAAGAACTTCCTTCTAAAGCTTAAAGGATGCATAAGAACAGACTACTCTCAAGGCAGGCCAGCAAAATGAAGAAAGATATCCTGCTTGGAGTCTTGAACTAAAGACTAATCTAAATTAAAGACTAATCTAAATGGTTTATCAATTCCTAAACAGTAGAAAATATAAAAAGAAGTGCATCTATACTAAGAGTCTTCTAAGCCTAGAATGGGTTGGAAAAAAGTACAACTGGAAACTGTCTTTCCTGTGGCTGCATTATTACACATGCATGATAATGTAACAAAAGGCTGTTAAAACAGTAACTAAATTTTATCATACTATTAACTGCAGGCATACACCTCATCAGTATAAACCAAATTCAACTATCTTTTGCTCCTAAGAACTGTAACAAGTTTTTCTTAAAAAGTAAAACAAACTAAGTTTCTATTAGTTTATAGTAAACAAGTACTCATCAATTGTATTGCAAAATTTGAAGGACAGCCCTTGAAAATGTTTTCTGGCCCCCCAGGACACAGTAAACCATCAAGAAACACACTGAATAAGTTTCAATGGCAGTTTCCTACTAAACTTTAAGCAATTTCTTCTAAAGGAATGTTTATCTTACATGGTACATTTCAGGCTTTCATTTTGTCTGCTGTGCTGAGTGAAGACTGAAATCTACAGCAAGGTTTGTCTGGAGATGAACTTTTAATTGTTTTTCCATTTTAAATAAGGTTAACCCCTATTTGTGAATGGAACTGTTAGTATTTTCACAGGTTAAGCTTTGACATGGTGAATTTCCTGTGGGTGAGATCTAGAAGCACAATGATCTTTGTCTCAAATTACAGCTACTGTTTAAATCATAAAGCTTCTTTTTTTTGTTTTGTTTTTAACTCAAAACACTTAACTGACTACCTAAAATTTCATTTGTCTTAGTCACTAGAAAGCATGCTCAGTGTGAATAGAAATTTTTGTTTGTTTGTTGTACTATCCCCAGTACCTAAAAAAGACATTCAAATAGTTCATAAATGAAGTGACTAGTTCTCAGGAGGAAACACTAGTATAACTTAATAGGAACAATATTCTGTATAACAGTGTTTACCTGTTCTAGAGATAAGTTTGCTATGCATGTAATGTAGGATGAGACATAATTTTTAATAAGGGCCAAAAAATAGGAAATCGTCCTTAATGCCATGAAATAGGTAATACACAACATGTAATTCCTTAAAAAAAAACTTTAAACAGAAATCTACTTATATTTTTTAAACTAAAAAAAAAATTTTAATACCAATAAATGGTTTTCTGTGTCACTTAACAGAATTCTTAAAAATATTTAACTCATCCCAATTTAAATAATTAAAACAGCAGGAAAGACATCTACCATTTAAAATTTAGCTTTTAAATGAAAGTCACTCTAATAGTAGAGCTTTAAGGCAACTTGGGTATCTTGAGGGGCAGGGGTACTAAGGCGGCTAGAAATGGTGGAGGAGGCGTGTAAAAAATAGGGGGTAAGTGCTAATTTAGTACGATAATTTAAATAAATATCATTAATTTCTCCTAAAGGCAATTTTTTCACTAAAATACAGTAGTCATCACATAATTTAGCTCACATTACATTAACTTTTACTATTAAGAGAAATCACTACAAAAGTTAAATACTCATGACTTATAAACAATGCTGACTAAACCTGCAACAATGCTCATGAAACTAATGTCTCCAAAAGGCCCACTGGCAAAGTGATGTATCTTATATATACATTGATATATGTACACACACAGATATGTATTTATATGTGAATATACATACACAGACATAAATAAATAATACAAGTAAATTCTTAACTAAAATTGAGGAAATGTCCAAGTTTTTCACCACATATATTACATAAAGTTTAGTATGTTCAAAACAAAATTGCTTGTAAGAGTTATTTATCCTATTCCTAAGTAATGATAAATGCTATTGGTTGTCAACTATCCCATGTGTAAAATCTCTAGGAATTAGAAACTATAGCCCTTATATGTTAAATCATATGTAAAAAAATGTTTATTGTATGTAAACCTGACTCTAAAACCAGAAGAAAAAAAACAAACTATAACTATAAAAAAGTCAAGCATCAATCTTGGTACATCAGCTCAGTTCAGATCAGTGGCGTCTAACTCTTTGCGACCCCATGAATCGCAGCACACCAGGCCTCCCTGTCCATCACCAACTCACGGAGTCTACTCAAACTCATGTACATCGAGTTGGTGATGCCACCCAGCCATCTCATCCTCTGTCGTCCCCCTCTCCTGCCCCCAATCCCTCCCAGCATCAGGGTCTTTTCAAGTGAGTCAACTCTTCACATCAGGTGGCCAAAGTACTGGAGTTTCAGCTTCAGCATCAGTTCTTCCAATGAACACCCAGGACTGATCTCCTTTAGGATGGACTGGCTGGATCTTCTTGCAGTCCAAGGGACTCTCAAGAGTCTTCTCCAACACCACAGTTCAAAAGCATCAATTCTTCGGCGCTCAGCTTTCTTCACAGTCCAACTCTCACATCCATACATGACCACTGGAAAAACCATAGCCTTGACTAGATGGATCTTTGTCGGCAAAGTAATGTCTCTGCTTTTTAATATGCTATCTAGGTTGGTCATAACTTTCCTTCCAAGGAGTAAGCGTCTTTTAATTTCATGGCTGCAATCACCATCTGCAGTGATTTTGGAGCCCCAAAAAATAAAGTCTGACACTGTTTCCACTGTCTCCCCATCTATTTCCCATGAGGTGATGGAATCGGATGCCATGATCTTAGCTTCTTGGTACATAGTTGAGAACAATTTAACAACACAACCTCGGTGGTTTTGACCTAGACATAAATGGATGCCAACTCAAAGCTTTGTGGGGGCAATCACAACTGAGAGATGGGAGAAGTCTGTCTACTGTCGGTAACCTCGTCAGACTCACAAATCCCAGAGGGGTTTTCGACGCCTGGCTGACTTGAGCAGTGCCATGGTGACCAGTTCTAAGTCTGCTAGGTAGGCGCCTGGACGTGCTGCAGGGCTGCCCCACTGCATCACGAGACCGCAACCCACGGGACTCTCACGGAGCAGCCACCACTTGGACCTAGAGAGTTCTGACGTTTTCCCTCATCCTGCGTTCACTAGGAGGAAAGACAGAGGCTCCTAGTATCTGTCACAGAAACCGCCCGCCCCCAGGTTCTTGTTTCCTCTCCACTCCTAGAACACCTTATTGTATTTTCCATCTCTTCCGTCTAGCTCAGCCACTAAATGTTTTCTTTTAAACAGCCTTGTGTAGAAGTTAAAACAAAAACACCTGCACTGCTCATTTCCAACATTTTCTTTAATCTCTTAATAAACCCCAATTCTTGTTTCTAAATACATTTATTTTACTCAAACCCAAAAGGAAATATTTCTCTATGACTGAAGAGTTCAAATTCCAGTTGGAGGAGAAAGAAGGTATCGAAGCAAATTAAAGCCTCATAGGAAATGTCTTGGTCAAATTCCTCCTTTTTATACATTTAGGACTTAAAAATCCCAAATGTTCAACATTATTTTAAAACATTCATCCAAATGTAGAAAACAGCAAGGAAAGAATAACGGGATAACTGCAAAGATCATTGCTTGCCATCAGAGAGCAGTAAGAATTAAACTTATAACAGACTGAAGTGGAAGCAATATAAGTATGCATCGACTGATGAATGGATAATATAAGTATGCATCGACTGATGAATGGATAATATAAGTATGCATCGACTGATGAATGGATAATATAAGTATGCATCGACTGATGAATGGATAATATAAGTATGCATCGACTGATGAATGGATAATATAAGTATGCATCGACTGATGAATGGATAATATAAGTATGCATCGACTGATGAATGGATAAACAGACTGTGGAACAGCCCCTCAATGAAATTTCATTCGGCCATAAAAAAGGAATGAAGAACTGACATATCTCTACAAACTGAATGAACCTTGGAAAACTTTGGCTTCTTTCACTTAACATACGTTTTCCAAGGCTCATCCATGTTGCAGAGGTATGTTGTAGAGACATGTCACAAAACACCACATACTGCATGTGAAATATCCATTACAGAGAACTCTATGGAGACAAAAAGTCAATTAGTGGCTGCCTAGGGCAGGTGAGAGCAGGAGGGTGGAGGACAACAGCTAAAAGTTTCTTTCTGAGGGGATGGGAATGTTCTCAAATGGACAGCAGTG